AAAAAAAGTCTGAACGTAATGTTTTAAAACTTAACCTGGTAATTAATTTGTTTTGGTCATGAAATTTGATTTAATTGATTGAATTGGTTCAACTGGTTAGTTCAACCAATTAACTTGATAAATATTATTAAATTTATTTATAAATTATAAATTATTTTACTTCAATTGATTTTATTTTTAAAATTAATTAAAATCATTTTTTACATTCATTAATCAAAGTAATTATTAATTTCTTAGACTTTATTTTCAAAATTTATTAATTTCAAATAAATTTCATTTATTAAATTTATTAAAATACATAATCTATTTTTCTTTATTAGCCATCTAAAAGAATGATATCACATTAATTACAAAATTATTTTTTTATTTTTATTAATTTTATTTTAAAAATTGCTTGAGAATAGTTTTAATTTTAAATTGATTTCATTTAGTTTTAATTTGAAATTTATTTCATTCATTTTGTTAACTAAAGTAGTTATTTATCTTATTTTCAAAATTGAATTGATTAGATTCTAAGTTAAACTCACTTTCTAATTTGAAATGGTAATTTAATTTCAAATTACTTTTATTTTTAAAATTGATTTAAATTACATTTAAATTAATTTACAATTTTCATTCATTAATTGTGATTCTACTTTAAATAAATTTTACAATTTAATTATTATATGATCTATAGAATGAATAAATATAAAAAATTAAAGAAAAATGAAAAAAAATAAAAATATTAAAAAATGCTATGGTTTGAAACAACTAGGTTTTACAGCATTTTAGCATATTTGACTAGGTTTGAAAGGGTTTGAGCAAGTTTTGATTGAATTTTACTTTTATCGAGTTAACATCATAATTTGACCTATTTTAAAACCATTTTCAATTCAACTAATTGAATCGACCGAGTCAGGTTTGGTTTCAAAACATTGTTTAAGGATTCCATATTTCTTCTTTCCTAACCTTTCTCCCCTTTCTCTTGTACTCCTCCTCTCCATTCTCCTTCCATTCTTTCTTTCTCCCCTTCCTAATCTTTTCCTTCTCTTCTTCGATAGTAATGAACCCAAATTTTTAGGTTTCCATCACACTATTAACTAGTTCTAATGGGTTTTCATTGCCATGATACAACTTTCAGATAAAGGTACATTCTTGATTATAGACATCCCAAGAATGATTATGACCCTGTGGAAGAGAGTGTATGATGGTGATTACTTCACCTATGAGTTGTTCCCACACCATAAGAAGATGCAAGTGTGGGAGCTATTTAAGGTGAGAATAATTGTGATTTACTAGATAATCCCTGCATTTAATACCATATAATTACTGCAAACTATAATAACAATAGTGATGGGTTAAATTCGCTACAGCACTTGCACTGCTAAAACATATAAGTTAGTATTAAAAATGGTAAAGTTGGCAAATTTAAATGTATCAATTGCAAAGTAGGCATACTGAAATGGGATAATGTGTATGTCCTATGTAAGTGTAATACATCTTATTAATGTACATGAAAATAATTTGTTTGTATGTGATTACAGGTATAATATCAATGGGTAGCACAAGATGAGACTAGAGTGAGGAAGGCTTTCTTAAGTTCAATGAAGAAAAGATGGTCTGATAACAAGAAGGATGAACGGAATAAGTGGAGGAAAAATAGTGACTATAGACCTATTTGGTTGCTCAATCACCTATGGCCAAATTTATGTGCATATTGGAATTCTAATGAGTTTGCCACTCTCAGCGATAGGGGTAAAAAAAACCAAGCATATGGGGAGTAAGTCCTGCACATTATAGGATTTGTTAGTTTTGATGTGCATGAGGAAAGGATGATAAGCAAGAATATAATATATATATATATATATATATATTAGATTATGTAAAGAAAAAACCTATATTTTCTTCATAATGATCCCTAAGCTATACACAAAAAATGAGTTGCTAATTGCTTTACTATGGTTGTGACACATAGACAAAAGCTACTTGGGGGGGGAGGGGTAAGGCACTCACATCAAGATCTATACAAGGAAACACACACATTGTGGAAAGGTGTCCCCTAAGGCTAGAAGGCTCCCTTGTGTGGCAAGAAACACATAGTTTGTCATGTAAGTGCAAACATAGTTGATAAGATACAACATGAGTAACATGGATTGTTAGCAAAAGTCTATTCATGGTATATTAAATAAGTAGCAGTGCTAAATAAAATCTAATACAAATTTTGAATGAGGACATATTAGTATATGTAGGTGTTCATAAATATATTTAGTTATTGAGTAATAGTAGTTGGTATGTTGAAAGAAAAAACACATATCATGAAAATTAAATAATACTATATCTCATAAAACACAAGTGATTTTTAATAATAAATGATACTTTGTTATTGCTCTTACTTAAATATTAATGGTTACATATTTCAGAATGGTTACATGCATAAATCATTTGTGCTTTTGTACTAACCATTTTGTGGATTTATGTGCACTCCTTTTGCAAGATATGTATCTATGTGCTTTGCCACATAGGGGTTTGACTTAGCTTCATGGCTACTAATGGACAACGAGGCATGGTGTACCATTGTTGGGGGATACCACAACAATTTCATGCCAATAATTGGTTCGCAAGTGAACCCAGAGGATCTTGGGTTTACTTACAAAAAAACAACAACCAGTGAGAAATTCATACATGAGTTTGATGTTATTTGACTTAGCTGAAAAAAAAGCAAAAGATAAGGAGGCTATGGAAATGATGGGGGAGGAAATAGGCCATGTAAGGAGGGAAAGAGAAGTAATGCAATGTATGATGGAAGAGGTGGGTAGGATTTAGGCTTCTTTGTCATAGCAATTTACGACTATTACCATTTATAGGGTGCACCCCCTACTGTTAGGCCGTTATTTCCTACTGTTGGGCCATCTTTTCCTACTGCTAGGCCATCATTTCTTATCGTTGGGACATCATTTCCTGCCATTGACCTATCATTTCCTTATATTGGGCCATCATTTCCTTTTACAATGTCACGAATGCAAACCTCGATTGAGACTGCAATCCCCATGGGCCATATAGGGAGAAATTTAGAGTCAACTAAGACATCCCTAATCAATCCCACACAAGATGATTTTGTTTATCATCCGAGATTTGAATCAAAGTACCTAGGTCCATTTGGTCTTGAATGATGACTATGCATGAGTTTGCATACTCAAACCTTGTCTTATTATTGCTTGTTGATGGAATACTTTGGATTTTGGATGATTGTTTTAACACTATTGGACATGGTTGTCTATGTCTATTTGGAGTGGATGCGTTGGAGGAACATTAAGTGAGTCATTGTGATTAGCAGTTTTAGAACATGCAAATGGTCATATTACATGCATAATGTAGTAATTATATAGTTACCTTTTAAGTTATGCATATGTAAAAAGGGAATTATATCACTGCACATTATCAGTTATGTGATAAATTGAAATATAGGTTGCTATGATGAATGATTGTTTAGGTAAGGTCATATCAATGTGTAAGAACACTTGATGAACTAAATTTATATACATATTAATGTGGAATCTTTGCCTTGATATTATTAATATTT